TCATAGTATTATAAAAACAAAAAAGGCACAGTTGAGTTTCAGACTATTTCTTATCATTTAGATAATTTGCTACGAAGCTTTGTTCTCGGCTCTATGAGAAAACACTCGCATCACTGCTCCACTGAGTTGAACTGTATTAAGTTTAATCAGTATATTTAGCTCCAGTTTGTGTCTTAGTTTTTAATGATTTATAGATTTATTTTAGAGTTGCTAACTTTAACAGAGGTCATATTAAAACATTCCTTTAAAATGAAATCTTTGAAACATAATGCTGTGTACTGTAACCATCATCACAGAGGAGCAGAGGTTGAAAGCTATTTATTAATTAATTAGTTTACTAATGAAGTAAAAGTTTAAAAAGTACAGTTTCTGAAATGTATTTTGATGTTTAAAAGTAAAAGGTAGCTCTCTGAAGGGCATTTCCACCTGCTGTTTCCTTGCAAAGTTAAATGAACCGTAAATCATATTTGGGAGACTATAAAACTTTAATAATTCTAACTTCAAACAACTTGTAAAAACAGTATAATAAAAACATAGAACACTGAATTTCCCCTGGGATTAATACAGTGTTTCTGATTCTAATAACCGGCGCTTTAATGAGCAAATAAAGCGGATGGAATATGTCTTGCTTTTCAAAATCTGCACCAAAATTGTCAGTAATGTCGGCTGGCTCTTTTTTGTGACATTTTAGTTTGAATACAGAGACTGGCTTTCTACCAACACTGCAGACTTTTGTTATTGAGCTGTTGTTTTTGTTTGAATCAAAATTCGATTTTAAGCTGTCTGTCCTTCATGCAAAGTCCTTAATCAAACTTTAAAAGCTCAACTCTTGAGGTATGGTCTGTTCGTTTGCCTCAATCCATTCATCCATCCATCCAGTTGAGTCACTGTGGCAGCATGCTTTTCAAGCTGACCCAGACGTCCCTCTCATCAGCAATGTTTTCTAGCTCATCCTGGCTAAATCTGAGGCATTCCCAAGCCAAACGGGATATATAATCTCTCCAGTGAGCTCTTGGTCCATCCCGGGCTTTCCTCCCTGTTGGACTTGCCCGGAAAACCTCCAAAGGGAGAGGCCTATGACGCATCCATCTCAACTGGCTTCATGGAGTAGACGCTCTTCTCCAAGCTCAATCCTGATGCCTGAGGCCAGCCACCCTTCGGGGGAAGCTCATTTTGGTTGCTTCTACCTGAAATCTCATTCTTTTCTTTCCCTGAGGGCGCGGTCACACTGGCTATCCGTACCGAGCCCAAGCACACTTCAACCCTAAAGTCCAGTTGGTTTGGCCAGTGTAAGCATGGATAGTCCTGTGTTGTGTGACCGCGGGCCGTGCCGGTACGCCACGGTACAGATGGCCAGTGTGACCGCGCGCTCGGTCACTCCCCAGAGCTCATGGCTATAGGTGAGGGTTGGAATGTAAATTGAATGGTAAATCAAAAGCTTTGCCTTCATGCACAGGTTTCTCATCACTGCGACAGTCCGTTACAATCCCCCTACAGCACTGCTCATGTTGCACTAACAATCCTGTTAAGCTCACAAAACCATTTTACCCTCAATCGTGAACAAGAACCCAAGGTACTTGAACTCCTTCACTCTAGGCAGACACTCAATCCCCACCTAGAGGGACCAATCCAAAAAATGTTGGAGGACCATGACTTCAGACTTGGAGGTGCTGACACTCACTTCGAGTGTTTTTTTTTGAGCCCTGTTTATTTGTTATAAGCATGCACAGTATTCAAATATCATGAGTGTACAAGCAGAGCATTGTTTGTCATGTAAAATCCTATTTATTTTTTTTGCTTCTTGTGGATACCGGCCTAAGTAAGACTTTGTTGGAGAAGTTTTGTTCCATGTCCCAGAGTGCGATACCTTCACTGCCCCCGAGTCCTGGAGCCCAGATTCTGATTTCAGCGCTCCAGGCTCTGTGTCCGTGTGTGACCTTTTCTCTTCTCCTCACTTTCCCCTTCCCTTTCCTCCTCTTCACGTCCTCCTCCTCTTTTTCCACTGGGCGACTGGCCAGAGCCGGAGCAGCCTGAGCAGTGTAGCATTATTGGGTTTATGTGGTGGGCAGGGAGACAGGCAGGGGGAACCGAGCCAGACGGATAACAAACAGCACCCACTAAGGTAAAATAGAGCTCTATGTGTGTATGTGTGTGTGTGAGAGAGAGAGAGAGAGAGAGAGCGCAGGAAATGTGGCTGCCAGACCGGGTTCTCTGACACTGCCGGGCCAGTCACTGTGGTGCCAGCGATGAGATGAACAGGGCTCCGTCACAACTTGGCCCTCTCTGTTTCTAGAGATCTTGTTTTCCCTCACACGCTCACACTCGCTCTTCTTTCCGAAATGAAGAGTATCGTGTTTAGAAAGGAGAGACAGAGTGACCAGTACGAATGATGTCATTTCTCTCTTGGGGATTTTCTTGTTGTTGTGGATGCAGTTTGTTTATGTCCTTTCTCTCAAGTATAAACACAAATCATTCTCCTCCCTGACTGGAATTGCATCCACATTTGTACACAAAAAAAGTCAGACTAAATGTTTGACTAGCCCTTTACTAGCTATTAGCGAAGTTAGAGGCAAACCAAGGATGTTGCTTCACTTCTAAACAGTCACAAGCTGCTGAAAACAAACTCTTAGTGAAAAACAGAGATGTAAAAAAGCGATGTTGAAAGCTCTGACTGGTTTCAGGCTCACGGGGTCAAGTTGTTCCTAAATGTAGCAGGATATCATAATGTAATGTTCTGAACTCATGTCTCCTTATTTTGTTATTCATTTGACTCAGTAACCAAGTAAACAAATGAATACGATGGATCAGGATGACTTTGTGACTCTCACATCGAGGAGAGATAGTCCAAATCCAAAGGCAACTCTCATCTCCTCTTCCATTCTTTGCCACTAGATGGCGACAAATGTGCTTGGCTTCTCCTCAAATTCAGTAGCTTGATCAGTGTGGACTGGTTACACACTCACACTGCCCCTTAGCAGTACTTGGTTCGTGCATTCTATGTGGCCAGACGTTCAGGAGCCAGAGACTGTCCTCTGTGTATCTTGGTGTTCATGCTTCTCATGCTTCTTGTGACGCCTGAAAGCACCGGCATGTCACCAGAAATTCAGCGCCCTCTCGTTCCCCCCCCCCCCCCCTCTCGACAGCAAGAAAAAAGGAACCCCACTCCAGTTTGGCCAGCAGTGCCAGTTTTCTCTTTGTTCTGTGGCGCCGTCTATGTTGTTTCAAATTTCAGGTGCTGCAAACCGCTGTGCGTGACTCCATTGTGCCATTTTTTTTTTTTTGGCCTTGATCACATCAGTCTGACTGCACAATTCTCTGTTGCGTTCATACCTCTCATGAATCACTTTCAAGGCTGAGGAGCTGCCGATTGTGAGAGTAATTAGCTCTTGACACACACAAACAAACTGCTCTTCATTACTGCAACCTGTGCAGATTGCCAATCTGTTGCAGCGAGTAGAGAGAGCTGCAGTCCTCATGCCAGTTTTTTTTTTTGGTTCTATTTTTGGGCCATTTTTGCTTTTATTTGATAGGACAGTTGAGAAGAGACAGGAAGTGTTGGGAGGAGAGCGCGGGGGACGACATGCAGCTAAGAGCCGAGGTCGGATTCAAACCCACAGCCGCTGCGAAGAGGACTATATCCTCTGCAAATGGGGCGCACGACATAACCACTAAGCCGTCTGCGCTCCCTCTTGTGCCAGTTTTGAAACCCACTGGAATGAAACTGCTGAAATGTTGATAACACCAGGATGTGTGTGTTCGAGAAGATGCACTTGAAGTCTTTTCTGTACGTAGACAAGCTGCAGTTTGTGATAAATGAACAGCATCTCTTGTTTTTATGTAGCATGAGGTAGAGTTTCAGCTTATGTGTTAGCGTTGATGGTGGAAACTTTCTTTCTGTGCATTCTTAGAGCTGTCGTGGCATTGTTTTTAGCCGTGGTAGGCAGCTGTTTTCAGACAAAAAACACTTGATGTTCGAAGCCTGCTTCACAACAAACAGCAGATAAACAGCAGCAACTAGCTGTTAAACATAAAGGAGCAATAGGAGACAAGTTGCAAGTTAATTCACCCGGGAGTGGGTAGATACTTATAAATAAGAATGAATAATATTGATCTGTAACTGTTAGATGTATAATTGAACAGTTTCCCTAGATGTGGAACAAAATATTGATAAGGCAATATATCGTCGCCCTGACTCTTGATACATCTTGATCTTCTAATAAAAAAAAGATATTGCATATGTGACTCACCATGTCACCCCTTGGCCCTTAAGACCTATATGAGGGTAATGGGAACAGACGTGAATTGGCCAAAGAAGAAGTTGACAGTGGGGCAAAATTAAAAACAATATTAAGAAGAAGAAGACAACAGCATGATAATGTCAGACGGGCAAGAAAGGACGTTAGGAGATGAAGAGCACTGAGCAACCGACACCAAATGGCAGTGAATGAATACAGTAATCCTGCCTTTTTAAGGGCATTTATATCCCTAATGTAATAAGATAATGTGATGTATATTTGTCTTTACATGTGTCTTTATAAATTATCCCAGAAACCCTATAACATGATAAGGTAGTTGTGGGGTAATGTGTCATATCATATTGTATCGTACCGAGTTACCATCCCTAGTTTCCTGAAAAGTTCACTTCTCATTTTTAATGGTCTCGCTGTTTCCTTATAGCGGCCATAACTTGTTTCTTTGCTACAAGTGGCCATAAAGGCAGCTCAAAGGATCCCTCTAACCGAATACTTCCTGCTGCTTCGTCTGCGGCGTATGAATCTGTATGAATGGGGATTGGTTACTTCTGATGGACACTTTACATAGCAGCCTCTGCCATCAGTGTGTGAATGTGTGGGTGTGACATGCGGTGTTTAAGCGCTTTGAGTAGTCAGAAGATTAGAAAAGCACTATATAAGCTGAAGTCCATTTATATTTATTTAAGTGCACATACATTTGTCAAATTCTAAATTATATTTGTGTCCTAACTGTGTGTCTTTTTCCAGGTGGACTGTGGAGCGTCTTCACATTGGGTGGAGCTGGCAGCAAACCCGGAATAGACCAGGAGCACAACCCGTTACCTTTGTCCAATCAGAGCCTTCTGTTACTGCTGGTGCTAGCCAATCTGACAGATGGACCTGACTGGCCCAACCCCTACCGCCAAGCTATCACATGTTTTAGGAACACACAAGGTAGTATATATGTCTCTTTAAATCTTTTGGTATTTGGCTCGTGTTTGTCATGCATCAGAGGGTACTAAAGGAACGAAATAAAAATCCTGATTATTTTCTCCTCTGCCCATGTAGACACGTCGTCGCTTCCGGTGGAGCAACCTCACGCTTTCCAGATAAATTTTAACAGTCTGTACACGGCGCTGTGCGAGCAGCAGCGCTCTGACCAGGCAACCCTACTACTGTACACCCTCCTTCATCAGAACGCCAACATGAGGACATACATGCTCTCCAGAACGGACATGGACAATCTGGTGGGTGAGACCACGATGAAAACCGAACAACGGACACAAATTCACACTTGTTCCCTATCCCTGTCTCATTCTCATTCTGTTTTTATTTTTTTTTCCGACCATAAAAAAAAAAAAACCTCACAATGCTGTTAAAATTGAATCAAAAGCGTGATTGAGTAATCCCTAACAAAACACATTATGCAGTCCCTCCTTGCACACATGGGTACGGCCATGAAATCCTTTCATCTACGACCAACGCTACGGCTCAGTAATCAGCAAGGATGCATGCAGGGGCAGCTGGTGCTATTCTGTCCATGTGGGACGGTGCCAGTTATTCTGTACGGCAGAATGAATGTACCGAGGCATTTAGTGAATGAAAATCACTCTGAAGCTCAGCATGTCAGCTGGACTCATATAAGTGTGCGAGACTGTCACAATGAGGCTCTTAATAATAGCTTGATTAAAATAAATAGCTGATTAGAAATGAGTAGAAGTAAGACTTGATTATCTGTTAAGTCCTCGATTCAGGCTCAAAAAGAGACTTGAGATAGTATATTCTAAACTAGTTGCAAAATAAAAAAACGACAAGTTTGGTGAAAAGGCAAACATGCAGGATGCAATTAACACACATATTTTTCAACTGCCGGTCAGTTAAATCCCTTTACGTCTGCTATCAGAATGACCTTCCTGTGTCACTTCCTATCTATAGCTGCTATAATAAAATACCATCATTAGCGGATCTGGATTGTGCTTATTATGTAGGGGGGGCTACTAATGAGTCTCGCTACTTTGTCTGCAGAGTAATAAAGCACCGCGGCACGACAGCGTAATGAGCTAACACTGCAACACAGCGTGCTCATCGCTCACCACGCTAGTTACTAACTGCCTCCACTCTGACAGTATGATTCCTGGAATTAAGTCTTTTGCACACTGTTGTCATTAGTCGATCACATTTGCCATCTGCTCTGCATGCATTTAAATGCAGCATCTGTCTGGAAATATAGTGTAGCAGCCATGATTATGTAAAATTCTTGTCTGCTCAGCCACCGTCTTTAGTGCTGTTTTCCCTGTGTTTTGTTTCTTAAACTCGGTACTCAGATTGTACCTCAGCTGAGATTACTACTACAGTAACAGGGGCTTTGTGTAGTACAAGATTTCTTTAAGCTAGTTGATTGATTAAACTTGAGACTCATAAACATCCAAAAATAATGACTCTATAGTCAAATCCACTAAAATAATAAAAAAAGGGTTAATTTGTAATTACTGAAAGCCTGAACAGAGGAGTAAGGAATTGAAATAACTGCATTTTGCAAGGCCTGGTGTCAAATCATTTTCTCCTCCAACAAAAGACACCCCAACTGTCATGGTCACGGCTAATTTTAGCTTTCGACAAACGCACACAATGGTGGAGCAATGATGGAGCCACGTCATGTCTGCGATCTGATAACAAGGATTTAATGAAGGTAATTTCTCCTCACATATGTCGCTGAGCCCTTCCTCCTGCTCTCCCACTCTACCTCCTAGGTGTTGCCAATCCTCGAGATCCTTTATCACGTGGAGGACAGAAATTCTCATCATGTCTACATGGCCCTCATCATCCTCCTCATCCTCACAGAGGACGACTCCTTCAACCGCTCCATCCACGAGGTGGTGAGTACACACAGTTTAATACACCTTGTTTGTATTCCAGGCATTGCTGCTCCGTCTTTTTATTCCTGCATTATCTGAGTTATGATACATTACACTGGATGTTAAAGACTGTAATGTGTCATTTCAGGTGTTGAAAAACGTCACATGGTACACAGAGAGGACGTTGACAGAGATCTCACTCGGCAGTTTGCTCATCTTGGTGGTCATCCGCACCATCCAGTTTAACATGACGCGGACGAGGGTAATTTAAACATACAGTAGATTTACACACACAGAAGGCTATGCAGTCAGAAACTCATAATGAATTTTAACCAGATTAGACTAACATCAGGTTTAAAAAAAACAAAAAAATGTTTGTGCATCCTCCCTAGGATAAGTACCTCCACACCAACTGTCTAGCAGCACTCGCCAACATGTCGGCCCAGTTTCGTTGCCTCCACCAATACGCTGCCCAGCGCATCATCAGGTGAGGACACAACACACATTCCTGGTACATGTACAGTAGGTGTAAAAATTCAGGCGGAGCTTTAGTGAACACAAGAGAATTTGTATTTATTTTTTGAAAGCCTTTTGTTGTATTTATTTATTTATTTTGGGGCTTTTTATGCCTTTATTTTAGAGATAGGACCAATGGATAGTGTCGGACATCAGGTAGAAAGAGAGAGTGGGAAAACGACACGCGTGAAAGCAGCCACAGGTCGGAATCGAACCTGGGCTGCCCGCTTGGAGGACTATAGTCTCCGTACATGGGGCTGGCACTACCGGTGCCATAGTTAATACATTTTCTATACATCCTATTCCTGGACTTGTAGTCAATTTATCAAATATTATCCTAAGATAACTTTAAATTAGAACCTGTATCTTGACATAAACATGTTACTCTTTATATCCTGAATGAGGAAGAGATCAATATCAATACGCCTGGTGATTTAAAAAAAAAAAAAAAACATGAATTAAAATTTCAGCATGGTTCTGTTCTGTGATTAAAATAGAAAGTCTTGTTTTTTCAAAGTTTCTCAGATGAAAAAATGAGGATTAAGATTAAAATCAGAATCTAAACGCACTCACAAGTTTGTAATGTTTGTTTTAATCCACTTGGTAACACCTCTGAGTTTTGTTTGCAGTTTTTCTCTCTTTGCTTTGGCTCCTAACAGAAAAGTTTCTGTTTTATCCTCATATACGTAGGTTAAAAGAAAAACTGTCCTGCTCTCTGGTGTGAACTTCAACTTTTCCGTCAGTGTTATAATTCAAATTCAGGCCTCTACACAATCTCCATCTGTGACGCGACGAGAACAAAAGAAAAAAAAAAAAACAGAGATTTCCCAAACAGAAGGGTGGAGAGGATAACTCACCCACAGACACACTGATTCATTTTTTGACTGATTCATATTGAATCACAAAAACTATTAATTGTTGTAGTCACATGAAACTGCCTTCTACACTAAGACTAAGAACTGAAACAATAACAGAGTGTTGTGTTGGAACAAACATTATGTAACGTGAAGTAAGAGACGTTTTAGCTCGTAAGAGACGCGAGACTTGAGAGGAATGAAGTCCAAACCATGCACACGCACGCACACACACACACACACACACACACACGAGTCATTCTTGTCTGTTGTGGACTCCAGGCGCACAGGAAGAAATGTTTCCTTCCGTGAACACGTGCACACATTCACGCACACTCAAGGCTCCTCTTATCTCCCCCGCCTGTGTCTCCCTCCGTATCTGTGACTCTGCTCTGTTTTGAGTCAGGGAGGAACACTGTCTGTGAATGTGTACACGTCTGTCGAGTCGAGATGTAGAGCATCTGACTCCATGTCTGACGATAATGATAATGATGATGAGTATGATGGCCCAGGCTGGTCTGAGCTGGCTGGTTTGAGATGATGGGAATTTCCTGCCAGGAATTTCCAACTGTCTGCCAGGGCAGAGCTGAACTGTGTGCTCCTTTAATTGACTCTCACAGAGAATCACAGTTGTTGTCTTATTTACAGCCAGAAGAGGCTTTAATTTTCCTTCACATCCACCACACTCATCTTTACTTATTATTTCCTATTCATGCTCTCTGCTCCATCTTTTCGGCTGCATTGTTCCTCCCTCTGTTGTTGTTGTTGTCTTCAATATCAAGAGTCCCTGCAGCCGACCGCACATCCTCACATGTCCATTCATCCGTTTGATTATTGTGATGTGTGCAGACTTTACAGACACAGTGTTTCCAGAGCTCATGGTGACATCATGAAAACATCTCGTTTGTTCTCACCACAGTCCAACACACAGGTATTTGTCAGAAGGTGGTTCTGGAGGACTAGTTCAAACTGTCCTGCTAATTGAAATACAATGATTGAGATTTTATCGACTTCTGTGAATCCAATTTCCAATAACAGACGAGTACAAAAAGAGAAACAACGGGGGACGCCGGTGGTTTAGTGGTCGGTGTGCGCGCCTCGTTCATGGAAGCTGTGGTCCTCTGGGCGGGCAGCCCAGGTTCCTTTCCCGCATGTTGTTTCTCTCTCTCTCTCTCTCTCTCTCTCTGTCTCTCTGTCTCTCTCTGTCTCTCTCTCTCTCTCTGTCTCTCTCTGTCTCTCTCTCTCTGTCTCTCTGTCTCTCTCTCTCTGTCTCTCTCTCTGTCTCTCTCTCTGTCTCTCTCTCTCTCTCTCTCTCTCTCTCTCTCTCAATTTAATTCAAATGAGCTTTATTGGCATGACAGATCAACAATCTATGTTGCCAAAGCAGTACAGAAAACATTTTGAACAATATAACAGTAAACAAATAAGAATAAAAGACATTAACAATAACATGCATTATTTTTACAGTGTATTTCTATGAAACATTAAGTGTATTTTGTCTCAGTGTATTTTGTCTCTCTCTCTCTCCCTGATTTCTGAAGATTTCAGACTCTATCCAATGTCCTGTCTCTAAATAAAGGCATAAAAAGACTAAATATAAATCTTAAAAAAAAAAAAAAACATGCAGGAAACAGAACAGACATTAACAAAATGGTAACATAAATTGGTTACAACAATGCATGAGGGAGCACCATTACATATAACATGTGCTGAAACAATCCATTAAAGCCCAAACTAAAACCGCACCATTGCTCCTTAGACGTGTCATTTTTCAAGCATCACATCACATGATCGCGACTGTCACCATCATTCCTTCTTTCCACGTTTTCACTGAGAGGGTTTCTGGTTCTTCAACACGTGTTACTAAGCCAGTAGTTAATACTTAATGTGAACAATAAGGCACAGCATTTTCATTCCCAGGGAGACGTAACGTTGGTGTTTGGTGTTGTTGACTTTCTCTGCAATCTCCCATATGTTCCAGAACATTCTGCCATAATTGGAAAACCATTGTGCATTCCCATAATTTATGCATGTTTGTGCTGGGTTCTGTTAAACACTTCCAGTAAATGACTGTTTGTCTCAGATTAACCCTTTGTAATCAAGTCCTGTGGGGGTGTAATCATTAATATAAAGTAGTTTTTGTTTTGTTTTCAGAACAACAGAGTGAAAAGTTTAATTTTGCTCAGGATTAATCAAGTATTTAAAAATGTCTCTCTGATATGGGTTTGGTTTATTATTCAAATACTACTGGATAATCCCAACTATAGGCCCGAGCACAAAAATGTTTCCTGAGTCTGTTTTTATGCAGTTAAATTTTTTTTTTTTTTTGCCCAGAATATTCAGAAATGTATGCAATGACAAAAAAGAAACAAAAACCAAGAAACGTCATAAATTGAACACATTGTGGGGGCATATTAGCTTCAGAAAAATCCAACGTGATATACGATGTCAAAGTAAACTTTTTGCAGAGGCATTTTTGTGATTATTTCAAGAAAGAATATTCCAATCAGTACACAGAATAGGAGTGTAAAAGTTAATTCCAAGTACAAAAGTATTGTTTTAGCCATCAGCATCAATAAAATGCCTTCACGTATCCGCATGGTTGTTCATCTGTGTTTACTGGTTATATGCCAACAAAGGTGTTTGATACTTGTATCTACTTTTTCTTTTCCAAATGTCAGAACTGTTCCAACATCTTGAGCAGCATTTTTAAAGAAAACATGAATTTGAACTTGTTTTTTTGCCGGCATTAAAATGGATGTAAACATACATCAATTCAGACATACAAATATCTCAATAGAGATTTCAGACATCCATGCGCTGTGTGTGTCCGGATACTAAAGGAATCCTTTGAGCCGGCAGAGACAGAGCACCTTTACATGATCATTGTGTCAAGGCTGGACCACATGTGTCATTAATCAATCATAACTGATTTTCGGATTAGGACAGCAGTGTGGAAATCTTTGTGTTTCGCTGTTTCCTTGGCCGTGTCCATCACTGCCTTGACATAACTGAATGATGCGACAGAACAACCAGTCACAGGCTGCTTTTTATGTCCGCAGTCGCCCCAGGTGGAACTTTGTTGGTGGTCTCGCAACTGAAAAAAAAAGAAAGAAAATGGAGTAGATACGACAACAGGTCCCATTAAGCAGTCATGTCTACTGGGACCTTTGACATTAGGGTCTGTAGATAACAAGAGGACCTCCTCATAGCTGCTCAGATAACTCCGCTCAGCTATCATTGGGCCAATTAGCTCGGATAACCGATGCTGAGAGACTCAGCGTGTGTGTTTTGTGGTGCTGACAGATGGACAGGTGTAGCTCTAAGAGGCTTAGCTCTGTTTGTGCATGTGACTTTCCCCAGCCCTTTGCTGTCATTGAAGCTAATTTATTCTGCAATCCCCCCCCCACCCCTTGATTGAAACACACATTAAACATTCATCACCCTGGGGGGGGGGGGCTAGAAAGTCAATTAAAAAGTTGTAATTAAAAAGAAGGTCACTGATAATCATAATAAGAAACAGCAATGAATAAGAAACACAAGTTTCCAAAAGAGGAGTCTGTACTCGATGAGATGAAAGAAACGAAAGTGCTTAACATGGGGAAAATATTTGATGATTTGACAAACAATATAAAGCAGATTTTATAAGTATTTTTAGCTGTTTTGTTTTCCGGATCAAAAAGTGCGTCACACACGACTTAGTTATTTTTTTGCACAGGTGTTTCTCAAAGCCAGACAAAGAAAATATGTATTCATAATGAAGGTTTTTGCTGCTTCACGAGCGAGGATGCTGAGCGAATCAGTTCACTGTGACGTCAACGCTGTGCCGTATATGGTGCATATGTCTGTGTGTGTCTGTTTGTGTGTGTGTGTATCGACTCACCCTATAGCTACTCAAGGTCGCTCAAGCATACTCTAGGACTCTTGATGTACGTCTGTGGCCAGCCATCACATGCAATCATGCAATCACAGCCAGACAACTGTGCACTAACAAACACGTACACACACACACACACACACACACACACATACACATATATATATATATATACATACAATAAGCATGAAGTCAGTCAGCCAACTAGCAGGTCAAATGGCAGACTGAACGTCAATGGAAGTATACGGACTGGAAATTTCCGGAAAAGCTGAAGGAAAGCCATGATTAGGAATTGAGTTTGAAGAATTTCGACAACTTTCTCCTGCCAATTTCTTGATTATTTTGTTATTCTAAGACTTATTATTGTTAATGATTTTCGTAAGGCCTCATTTAGAAAGCAAAACAGGACGATCTTGTTTCATAATCTGTCTTTTAAAAAGGTTCTCTTGATATTAAAACTGTGTAAATTACCCTTTTTAAAAAAACAAAAACATTTACAGCACATTTATTACTGGCCGATGTATGCAGTGTGGAAAGTGTGTATTTGGGTCCTTGGGTCTCCGAAGAAATGAATCACTCATCGGTTGTTGCTGCTCTGATTTATTTCCCCCCTCTCTTTGTTTCTCATGCAGTTTATTTGCTTTGCTTTCCAAAAAGCACAACAAGGTTTTGGAGCAGGCAACACAGTCTCTGAGAGGCAGACAAGGAGACAACGAAGCCCTGCCCGACTATGTGAGTAACTTTCTCTCTCTCTCTCTCTCTCTCTCTCTCTCTCTCTCTGTATCTCGCTTTCTTTATTTCTCTCTGTCTGTGCTCAGATTATTATTCTTTAAAGAAGCAGTATTTATCTAATTATGTCTACTTGGATAAGATACAGAGGTGTTTATGTCTGTTAAGTTTGTGTAAGATTACATTCATCTGCATTAAAGCTCCTTTGAGAAGTTATCAGCTGGTTATGAAACGTACTGATTTTAAAAGTGAGGCCTCTGTATGACCAAATATTTCTATGTTGTCATTTTAATGCCTGAAGCTGCCGGAGGGGGAAGGTGTCAGACAAAGAGACTTACAGTATGCTGCAGAAACAACCTTTTCTTTTTTTTTACTACTTCCAAGGCAGAGATTGTCCATGAGTGATACATTTGACTTTTTAAATAAAGCAGATTGTTAAAAAATAAAACGCTTCCACATGCAATAGACAATATCGGTGAAAAAAACAAGAGGAATCACTTTGTCCACCAGGGGCACCAAACACACAAATCAAAGGGTACATAAGTTCGTCACCCTTACCTTTTTATAATGGTTTTGAAAAAAAAAAAACTGCAGTCATTGTTACATTTACACAATGGTTTTTATTTTCATAAATGATAATTTTGGTAAATCTATATGCATTTGTCGGCTGTTTTTAGCATTATTTGATATTGCTTTAGTAAATGCTCAGTGGTATGGGCTTCCACACACTCCCCCTTTATGCTTCTGGCAGCGGTTTTGTGGACCAGTTCCGGTACTCACTGGGATATTTTGCACAGTTTGATGCCGTTTTACATATTCAGTCTCGTGGAAAGCATCAGATTTCAGGCCTGTTGCTGCAGGGTAGCAGTCTGCAGCTCGGTCTGTTCCAGGCCTTTTGTCTTCTTCTCATTACTTTCGCAGCTCACGTACCCACACATTTAATTTGTTCTGAAATAGAGTCTCCACTTGGAGAATAATATTTGATGAAAGTATTGAGCGTATTTAAAAAAAAAAAAAGAATATTTGAATGTCACTCACAGTGGAAGCAAAGTAATATTGAAATTCTCTGAATCATCAGTGTTAATCTGAAATTGAAATCTGAACAGTAGCACTGCAGTGAGTCTCTGGCAGAGATTAATCCAATACATTTTCATCATGATGTTTTCCCCACTCACATATGTATCGATCTTAATAGTCGCCACGCCCGGCCAATAAGTGAACCCTGTTGACTATGACGATGAATAATTGTTTTTATTCATTCATCTTTGCCTTTAGGTTCTGCTGTATACGTCTCAGTCTGGCTGTCTTACTAGATTTGCATGGGTCAGAATAAGTGTGTGTGTGTGTGTGTGTGTGCGCTCGGGGGTCGGAGTTGTATTAGGGGTCCCCATAGATGCCCTAAGGTGTTGGGGAAACGTGAGTGAATTTGAGTGCTCCTTCAACCGTGTAGAGACTGTCTGATGAGGCCTCTTATGAACAGACATCCATGCACACAAACGAAGGTACACACCCACATAAACATAGAAAATGCAATTATCCATCTATGTTTTGATGCTTTTCTTCCTTCAGGGCTTATTTTAATGCTCGCCGTTATTTACAAACATGCGTAAACCCACACTATATATATGTTTGAAAATGGAAAAAGGAAGGAACGTAAAGAGCGATTACTTTGCCATGAATCTGATTGAATCTGATTTGAATAGTGTATACAGTCAAAGTTATGACAATTACACGCACAATGAGAGGCCTCACGATATTACACAACAACATTCCTGCCTTTAACTTTCAGTGTATAACTCAAGGGCAAAAAGAAGATTTCCAGTAAGATTATTTCATGGGAATTTTTTACAAGCAGAAATATTTCCGAGAAAAATGTCTGACATCCAGTCTGGGTCATAGACTTAAAAGACAGGGCTGGTCAACTTTAGTGATACCGCTGTTATCTTTGAGCTTAGACTATACTAACTCTTATGTGACATTGGTTCCCAAGCGTCCCAGCAGCTTCACCTCATAGCGAAAATCCACTTGTTGCACTGTTGACACGTCTTGATTAAAAGGAACATATCGTTTTGTTTGCGTTCTGAACATGTGCACACATAGATAATATACATCCTGCTTGTTTTATCGTGGACAGCAGATTTCTTGTGATTTAGAGCAGAAGTGATCAAGCATCTTGTTCTCAGTCTTACTTTAAAGCTTAAAGTTGGGCTCTGCTTTTGCAACTTCAGTATTTTAAGGGCCACAAGCGATCATGTGTGGACTGGGGAGACACATAAATCATGATTGGCAGATCACTCTGAACAGAAAAGGAGCGTCATTTGACATGGGGTACACAACATAACTACTTGGCTACCTGGCACCCAGCCAATTTCTTTTTTTTTTTTACAAAAATCTCATCGTGCTTTCTTTTAACAGTCAAGCGTATCACTCGTCTGGAATTTTTGCAGTGGACAATTTTACAAATGCTGTTATTTCAGTAAATCGACTGATATCTACCCAATGGCTGTGATTACACACATTAAAATGTACTATTTTAGAAATAATCAAACCTCTCTCGGATGGATTTGTTTGCTTTGTAAGAGGCATCAGTATTATTTTCAGTATGTTTCATAACAGGCTAAAGACTCCTTCCATGAGCTTTAAGCTAAAAATGTACCTAAACCAAATGAATAGGACTTCATACCTGGTTAGTTAAAAGGACCTCACACACCATCTTTAAGTTTTCTCATGCTAACTCTTTAGTTCCCTCCATCTCTGACCCTCCTCTCCTACTCCAGTTGAAGTGTAATTGAAAACAGCCTGCTCCGGTTTTATTCTCAAACCCTCATCTTAACTCGAGAAGGGAAGAGGTTTAGCGATCTATAGGGACAGATGAAGAGGAGTTAAACACGAGGAGAGCGGAAGAACAATAGAAACAGGAGCAACAAGCAGGAGGAGAGGAGAGGAGAGGAAGAGGAAGGGGGGGGGGTCTGGAGAGAGGGTGGGTGTGCGATGGGCATCTGGAACCAATGTAATTTGGCTTTGGAGTCTGGCTCTGGAGAGAGAACTAATGTTTGTTTTATGTGGGATTGTCCTGGACATGTAATTGCTCTCTTTACAAGGGAGAAACCGAGAGGAGGATATGAAAAAAAACGTCGTCAAATGCTTTAAGCTGTGTGTTAAAGCTGGCTGGTTTCTGCTTATGTGTAAATGTCTCCCTCTTTTTGTCTTTCCCCCTCCCTCTCTCTCCCTCTTTATGTCTGCCTCTTGGTCTCTGTCTTGCCCACACACACACACACACAGAACCCACACGCTCTCATCCTTGTGTGTGTTTGTGCTGCTGTGTCTGGTTAGTGTCAGGGAAGAAAGAGTGAAGGGTCGGGGGCCCCTTGAGCCCCCAGGGGACACACCAGAGGCTCCCAGTCCAAGCAGGGCAGCTCTCAAAGGGCTGCTCTCTGCAGCCTCTGCACCTTTGATTGCAGATGTTTTTTCTTGCCCTTTGAGATATGTGCAGTGACATGCAGTGTGTGTGTGCTCTCCCTCTCTCTAACACACACACACACACACACACACAGAAAAAGAAGGTAGTATGTGCTGTGTTGCTTTGCGGTGCGTTGTGTGTCACTGTTTATGCTCCCAGCCAGTGTTAGTGGTAATGTTACTTCTGTGCCTCTTAGTCTGTTTACTGTTGCACATTTCTGGGAAGAGACTGCCAATACACACACATGCATACACGCACACACGCACAGCATCAGGGCCAGAAGCATGTTGGACCACCCTGTCTATGTGTTTATACGCACGGGTTGAGTCACAATCTGTGATCTCTTTTTAATAGCCACAGTAGACGCATGCATTAGCTGTGCAGCACCATTCCTCTTGTTTAGGGAAACAGCAGAGCCCAAGGATATATCAACAGATAATAAACATTATGCCTTCTGTTAATCATCAGGCCTTCCAGGAATTTACAACTTTCTCATTAAGATACAAAAATGTTCCGCAAAATCCACAAATTTCCATCAATGCCACAAAAGATCACAGAAGACAAGAAATAGTGTTTTTTTTTTGTTTTTTTTAAAGTGGAGCACTGTTCAGTCTCTGGAGTGTTTGAGGGTGTGCAGATCATTGTTTTTCTTGCCTTGAGTGTGTTTGTTATTTCAAACATCTTCTACTAACAGGTTAATACAGTCTTCAAGGTCTCTTGTGGAGTTAGATCTATTAACCTCCTACACTGCTACAGATCAGAAGAAAAGGCTTCTCTCTGTGTGCATGTTGGTCACAACTTTAAGAAAATGTATGTAATCTATGAATCTATGATAGGATTTTTGGGGTCATGTCATTTGCTTATGTAGGAAAAAATATCTGATATGTTGGTATTTGCCTATAACATATAGATATCTGTATCTGCTTCAAATATAGTGCTATATGGTTTCCATAAATTAAACTAAACTTAACTGGTAAATGAGAAAATTCTAATTCTAAATAGTCCTAATACACACTCTCACACCACTGAATAATAATATACATACCTGAGTTTCTGGCCGTCTTAACACTTAACTTTAATTCCACTGATATAGTTTTTATAATAATTAAATATTTTTAATCACACTAATGTACAATCCCACTTCCCAAAAAGTTGGGACATTGTGTAAAATGTAAAAAAAAAACAATGTGATGATTTGTAAAACACTGAAACTCATATTTGATTGAAAATAACACAAAGACAACATGTGAAATGTTTAAAACGAGACATTCATCATTGCCATTGGAACATTAAATACCCATTTTGAATTTGATGCCAGCAATACTTTTCAAAAAAAAAAGTTGGGACAGAGTCATGTCTCCACTCTGTTGCATCATTTTCTGTCTCAAAAACCCTTTTTGTGTTTTTGGAACTGAGGAAACCAATTTCAGTCATTTTAATAAGATTTTGCTGGATGTAGGATTTCAGCTGCTCAACAGTTCAGGGACTCTTTGTCTTATTTGAAGTTTCATAATGCTCCAAACATTTTCATTGGGTGACAAGT